GAAATTCTCAGAAACCGCCTTTCTAAATGTCTGAAGAAGACATTTCCAACAGCCACTTTACGTATCACATTCTCCTGCAGACAGTTAATCCAGTCTAACGCTAAGGACAAGATACCGCTTTTGGCCACTTCAATGTGTATTTATCAATTTACTTGCTCGTGTGGAGCAAAGTATATCGGCCGTACGCAACATCAAGTCCACAAAGGTATTCTGAAACACTGCCCAGCTTGGTTATCCAGAGGAGAAAAGAAGAATAGCAACAGCACGATCCTCGAACACCTTGTCATCTCTGGACATCGAGCACCCCCACATGAATGCTTCATAGTGTTACACAGAGTCCCTCAATATCGTACAAAGGGACTTCGGATACACCATCTGTACATAGCTGAAGCATTAGCTATTCGAGATCTGAAACCGGACCTCTGCATCCAAAAGCGATACATACATTCTCTTGCCCTACCACGGCCAGAGTAAAGCTCTTACCACAATTTTGCTTCTTTCTTTTATTATGTAAGTCCACTATTATTATTATTATTTTATTAATAATTTTATTATCATTATTATTCCCATTAACCACATTTTATTACCACTCTATTACTGTTTACTGATAACATTGCTTTTCACAAATATTTTATACAAAAACACTTTATAGCCTTTCCACTAGTTCCTGTCCATTTTACACGAGCTTATTGATTATTCATTACCTCACACTTATTACGTCATGCCAACTTCTGTTTCCTTTCTAACTTACAATTAGTCATCCCTTCTTACACCTTACATTATGAAATACAATTTTCCAAGAACAAAATTTATCTGTATCTGATTGGTCTAGAGATTTCTTTGTTAATTATAATTACGATTGTAGAGCTGATGAAAATGATTCGTCATACGCTTCACCAATCTTTAATTTGTTTCACAGAAAAGTGGGACAGCATCGAGGGTCGCAATGCTTTTCATGTGGTGTGATTTGTGAAAATGTTTTATTGCGTAATGCATCGTTTGGAATATGTAATATATGCTTATGGAAAACATTTTGAAATCATTTGTCACCGAGATACTTATCTAGTCCTTACTGAGATATCCATTCTATATTCTTCGCTTCACTGTATAGTGCAGTATGCTTATTTGTTTCAACATTGTAGTGTTAATAAAAGTCTTCTTCTTATAGTAGCTTGAACTAGTTTATTATAAAGCACTAACTTTATTTGGTGCAGTGGTTATAGAAATGTTATTTTTAGGGTGTGGGGGGTGGTTATTTTATAGTCATTTTCCTCTAACCATACATTAAAACCGACCTGTCAGTGTTTTTTATAACATTTCAAATTCCTACACTAAATAGGTGTTGGATATGTCTTTGAACTCTTTTACCAGTTATTCTTATATGTAAGAAATCCTAATGCATGCTATGAAAACTAACGAATATCAAGTGTTGGTTTGCAGGGATTTGATTGTTTACAGATTGTTTAATCACCAACTGACCTCAGTTGGAGAACCACTACTGAGAAACCAAGGAGTACTGGACCACTGCCCTTTCGTCCTAGTGTGGGATTCTTCGTCAGTATACACCCTCCGAGGTTCGAAACCTGGACGTTCCACTTAATAGGCGAGCTTGTAGACTGTTCAACCACCAAGACACTATCCATTGGTTCATGAAATCAAACTCCTTCCACGAGTCGCGCGGTCGCTGCATACTGATGAACAGTCCCAAATTAGGTCAAAGGAGCGATCTAGTACTTTATGTCTTTCTCATGGTTCTCTAACTGATGTTAACTCGTGATCCATCTTGAAAATAAAGAATATAATAAGATAGGTGTTATCTCCTTATCCTAAGCACATATGAAGTCGTAAAGTTTTCAGAAGGAATTTAATATTTTACCAGTGTTAAAGTTATTAAGTTTCGTTGAAAGACGATAATCAGTTCAAGTCTTCCATATTATTAGAATGTGTTCACTACCATTTAAACATTTGCTGCATCATTTGCATCACCGTATGTGTTTTTATATAGAACTCCTTGTGGAGTTCTGTACTATTTTGTTTCAAATGACTTGAGATTAGCATCTGTGCACTGTGGTGGAGACTAATTCCATTGTGCATAAAATTCATTTTGATGAAGTCTCACAGTGTTGTACGATAGTACTTACTGAAGACGTTTTGAGCACAATTTATTTCTTCTCATAATCATATCAAGTCACTACTCACACAACTTTCCAGCATCGTTTATATGATTCGACTATTTCTCATCTCTTGATTTGATTGGTACTAGTATTTTGCATATTTCCGGTATGAGTGATGAGTCATTCCTGTGGCACATGTTGAGTGTGGATTCTATGAACAAAGATTCAGTAATCAATCTCTCCCTCCACCTACCTATATTACTTCTTAGAATTTTAATCCTCTCCCACCTTATTGCGTCGTTGTGTATTAATGCATGCAGTGCAATTGCTGAGCTTCCTTTTCTAAATTACTTATCTTCACGGGGTCAATCATTCTAACTTTAGCTGAATACTTATATTTTGACAATCTGACTACCCTTAATCTTGTAGTTTGACCTATGTAGTTGACTTCACTCACAGTCATTGCAAGGTATTTGGTAAATTGTATTATTTTGTCTAATTGGGTCCACCGGGTCCTTTAACCTACAGAGCTTGTCCCTGAGTGAGTTTGTAGGTTTAAATGCCACCACCAGCCTAATTCCTGCTTTATTAAGAATCCTACTTAGGGTTTCAGATGTCCCCTCATTATACGATAAAACTGTCGATATCAAAAATGTGCAGAATAATGACAACACCAACAATAGGGAGTTTAAATCATCAATAGTACTTCCATACAAAGAAGGAACCTCAGAAACCTTAAGGAGAATTCTTAACAATGCAGGAATAAAAGTGGTTGGTATTTAAACCCACAAACTCAATTAGAAACAAGCTTTGCTGGTTAAAGAACGCTGTGGAACTAATTAAACAAAACAATTTAGTTTATCTAATAACCTGGTTGAATGTTTGTCAGGTCAAATACATAGGTCAAAGTAGTAGAGCGGGGTCAGTCAGAATAGTGGAGCACAAAAACCTAGCGAAATCTAGATTAGTTGATCCCAATAAGATAAGAAATCTGGAGAATAGTTCAGCTACACCATTTACTACATGCAATTACATACAACCATATAATAGGATGTGATAAAGGAACAGTTTTAAAATCTTATGTAGCAGGGTGGAGGGAGAGACTGATAACGGAAGCTTTATTTACCGAATCAACTGCAAATACATGTAATAGGAATGATTCAACACCTGTCCCAGACATCGGGAAAATTCTACTACGACTAAAACAAAAATAGGGAAGAATAAAGAAGACTATGAAACGAAAGTTTCGGAGTTGTATGGTTATAATTGATATGATTATGAACAATAAATTGTGTTCGAAACGTCATCTAGTAAATATTACTGTTTCACCGTATGGAACTACTTACTACCACAATGTCCAAGTTTTACACATATATTAAGTTTTTCAAGTAACTTGAGATAAATCAGTGAGTGATACTATCTGTCTACTAAAACATGAGTACACGGATCAGTTAAAGGAATGCTAAAATTTTTGAACTACCAGTTCAAAGCTAAATGTTTAAACCAAGGAACCCCAAAGCGGCAGTAAAAATTAAAAAAAACCTGGATACTAACATTTTTACAACGTTAGCTTATGCTGACTTTACTGTCAGGGAATTTGATTTCCTTCCTTAGTCAGTGTGTTGTAGAGCAACAGAACATAAGTGATGTTATTTGGTGAAATGCGCATTTCGTCCTATTCGAGACTAGTCAGGCATCGTTGAAGTGTCCTTACTAGGGGCCAACATATCGACGGAAGTCAGAAGTTTCCATTCAATGAGAAAAACTGAAATCGACTTGAACAAACTACAAAATATACATACGTGTGTGCGCGCGCGCACATGCACAGTAATACTCATTCTCTTTTAATTCAGAGAATGCAGTAATTCGCGATAAGTAATACTAAAGAATGCCTATATGAATGCGCCATATGTTAAGCGATTCACAAAGAAAAGTTCACCGGGGCGTTCTAAGTGAAGACATGAGTGAGACAAGGCTGACTACTATCACCAATGGAATTCCTGACTGTGGTGGATTGGATTAAGCCTCAGACTGTGGGCAGCGAGAAGACAGGAATACATTGGGCCAAAAAGACGGATAGAAAATATCGCAATTTGTTGAAATTGTCTTATTACCTAAGAATTATTGCTATAGACAGTATAGCTTACATGATAGAAAACAACTAGGAGTAGAATACATTCCATATGGTGGCAAATGGAGGATTCTATCGAAGAATGTTTATCACCTGGGTCAAATGAATGAAGAAAGCAAATACCTCAACACCTACCCTGTTTAAAACATGGTGAAACTATCTCGGTCGGTTTGAAAGCAACAATGTTCGAATTAAATATGTATTTCTACGTAAAATTACATACGGTGAATAAATTAAGGTTGGAAATGTTTAATATTTAGTTAGTTTTATAGGAGATGTAGAGTTTGTTGCGAAGCAGTGTCACTTGGAGGATTGAAAACTAGCGGGTGCGTTGAAGATTTGTTTGAGGATGTGTAGAGGTGCGCCACGCTGACTTTTCGAGGTATTTTATCCGGTACCTACAGGTTACTCCATCCGGTTGGTTGAGATATCAGTTGCTTTGGCGATGAATTCTTTGTCAATTCGTTATCTAACTCTGCCCACACGAGAGGCTTCGATTAATATTCACGTCACCTTGACTTGGTGACTTGGTTTGACTTATTGTTTTCAATCTCAAGATGCCCATCCAGATTAGGATTTGGATTAGGGGCTTTTCATGAATGTTGTTTCGTGACGAAATGTACCAACTTATCTTGTTATTACTAGCTGTCATTTGTCCTTTTTTATATGAGAAGTTTCCCTGTTATATACCAAAAATATGTGAGATATGGTTTTGTTTGAACTCATCGTATTTATCTATTTTATTCACTATTCAGTTCGACCTTCTACAAATGGGCTATACGGGGATATATATGAATAGGTAACTCTATTATCATTATTATTATTGTTTGTATCATCAAATTTTGATTGTGAACAATTCAAACAGATATTTTGTACTAATTTTCACCTTTGTTGAGCCTAGATAACAATAAATGTCTATAATTGTACTGCATTTCATCCAAATGCACTTTTTATTATCCATCCAGTAATACTATTGGTTGATATAAGCATTTCTGATTTCCCTATTTTCGTTGATTCTTCTCACTATTGATCGGCAGTGTTTTTTTCTACCCGAATTCTGTACATAATTTCTTATTTTCTCCGTTTTTAAATTTCATTTTTTTTTGCAATAGATCGGATTAAATGTGTATAAATGTCTATGTATTAAAAGAAAAATCAGATTTTTGAAGTATTAGTTTATATTAGTTCATTTGTGTGTATATATATGTGTGTGACAGTGGCGTTGTGTTGTGTAGTTGACATTCGCTTTATCAGGCAGTAAGGTATTCTGTCTGGAATTATCGAAATATGATGTAATTATAATGTGTTTATCTTTTAAAAGTGATACGTAATTTCACCTTGAGTCAAGCTTAGTGCGTCTCTTATCACGAAGGTTTGTTGTATACTACATATAGTGTACTCCGTGGCAGTTCACTTTGTTCTCCGCTGTGGCTGTTAGAGACATGGTCATTGAAAGTGGAAGTTATGAACAGATCAGCTGTTTTTGATTACACATGTTCGCTTATTGTCTCCCGTGTTAACTGTTATAATATGATGAGTAATACTTAGGTTAGGCATAGAGTGTTAGTTAAGAAGGGGAAGTCAATCGATGAAGCTGTGTAAAACTACATTACTTGAAATTTAACTCACAGGGTAGGAAAGTTACAGATGTCCAATGCTATGCACCTACAAACATCACAGAGCAAGAAGAGAAGGAAGACTGTAAACAGTAATAGGCAACATTCTGAATGACGACATCAAAATCCTAATGGGGTACATGAATGTTAAACTGGGAGTAGACAATACTGTAACAGAACTCATCATAAGTCGAGAGGTTCTCAGCGAAATGAATGAGAACGGAAAACTCTCCGCGGGATTTTGCGCATCTGGTGATTTGGAGGTAGCGTATACAAGCACAAGGATATACACAAGGCAACGTGGATTTCACTTGATGGACACACTAAAAACCAGATAGACTTCATCTCTGTCATCAGAAAGTGGAGACACAGCCTTCTGAACATAAAGTTGAGAAGTTGAGCAGATTTGGACTCAGACTATCATCTAGTTCAAGGAATCTTCAGGGTCAAGCTGACATCTTTCAAAACAACTGGATAAACACCACAATTCAAGTTCAACACTCATAAACTGAAAGACAAAACTACAAAAGATAACTTCACCGCAGCTATCGGAGCAAAGTTGGAGCATTACGTGGCATCACTGAGGAAACTTGTATGGAAGTATATTGGAACTCTGAAGGTGATGTTCAAGGAAACATGTACAACCGTTTTAGGAGGAAAGAAGATTCAAGACATGGAACGGCTCTCAACAGATACCTAGAAGCTAAAGAAGAGAGAAGTATGGTGAAAGAGGAGCTGATCGAATGCAAAGATGGACAACAGAAGAAAAAGCTGAGGTCAATGTACATCGCAGTGAATAAAGAGGTGAAGAGGAGTGCTAGGAAAGACAAAAGACTTCTGCAACACACTAGCACCAGAAACAGAAGAGACTGCAGGCGAAAGTTACCTCAGAACGTTATATCATATAACAAAGTCTCTTTCTGGGAAGAGATCAGCACAGATGAAATCAATGAAATATGCCGAAGGGAATCTAATTATCGATGGAGAGAAATAGTGGGCTAACCAATTCAAAGGACTGTTGAATCTACCATCACATGTCCAGAAATACCACCAACCACAGTACTGCCAGTGGATACCAGTCCTCAAGCAAAAGCAGAACCCTTGAATGTAGTCAAGCCACTGAAGTCCGGGAAGGCCGCAGAACTAGACAGAATTCCTTTGGAAGCGCTGAAAAGAACGAATATCTGAATATACCTGAACGAATATCCTCAAGCCATTGTTGCACAAAGTTTTGAAGGGAGGAAAGGTACGCATTGATTGGTAGAAAGGTTACCTTGTCAAGCTAACATAGAAGGGCGATTTAGGTCTCTGCGAGAACTGGCCTAGAATCATGCTCTTGTCCACGCCAAGCATAATATTATGTCGTATCATTGTTGAGAGAATAAAAAGGGCTCTGGATGCAGAAATCCGTCCAGAACAACTTGGATTCGGGAAAAGCAAGTCATGTGCAGGTCAAATAGCAACTCTACACATCATCTAACAGAATGGCAGTCAAACATCCACCTCAACTTCATCGACTTTGAAAAAGATTCTGACGGCGAAGTAATTTGCAAACTGCTTCAACAATATGTCGTGCCTCAAACCTTTATCACCTCCATTCAACAGCTGTATGATAGTGTCACGTGTCATGCGATCTACAACGGAAAACTCTGAAGCCTTCTAAGTCAAGGACGGAGTAAGAAAAGGCTAATTACTATCACTGATACTATTCCTGTTTGTGGCGGGACCGATCATCCTACAGACCATGGGGAGCGAGAAGACAGTGAAACTTTGGACCGATAAAATGACTCCAGATGACCTGGACTTCGCCGGCGACTTATATCTGAATTCATATAAATTCGAAGACTTACAGGCGAAAACCAACAAACTGGCTGAAGAAGCTAGCGGCGAAGACAGGACTCCAGGTGAACACAGAGAGGTTTAACAGGTTACTCCCTTCTTTTATCTAGGAAGCATCGTTTCAACTACAAGCAGTAGGACTGGATGAAGATGTCGAAGCCAGAATCGGAAAGGCGAGATACACCTTCATCAACCTGAAATCAGTTTGGAAATCTTCTGCACTTCGCGGCATTAGGAACAAGATTCGGATTTTCAACACCAATGTCAGGTCGGCCCTTCTACACGGGTCAGTAACTTGCACTGCATGTCATGGCAAGGATTTCCAACGTGTTACAGACTTTTATCAAAAGCTATCCACTTCGCTGGCTGGCTCCATACTAAAGATCGAGTGGCCAGCCATAAATGATTAGTAACAAGAAACTCTGGCTGGGAACTAACCAACCAAGTGCCGATTGCTCAACGAATATGTAGGAGAAAATGGAGATGGATTGATCGGGCATACAGTGAGGAGACCGTCAAATGACATCGTGCACAACGCAGGTCATTGCTCGAGTGGAATCCAAATAGGAAGCGACGAGTGGGTCGTCGGTGCGAAGGTGACGTGGATGAGATAGTGCGAAGAGGAGATGAGAGATTATGGGCAATCGTGAACCCAGCCGAAGAGGACGGTGGAGAATAGAAGAAAGTGGGGATGTGGTTTTGAAGTTCTATGTTCCACTCGGGAATGATAATAGATATTCAGTTAGCTAATCTTAGTAACGGAACGCTTGGGCTTTTCCGCGGGAAACCTACATGGAATGGACGGGTCGCATGCATATAGAATCGTGTTTTGATGAAGGCGAAATAAAAAATTTCCAAATCGATTTGTCCATCTGGTTGAAACACAGACCAGTTTTAATCTTGTCTACAGTGTAAATGGGAATCTAAAAATGGTGAGAATATAGCGTGCAGAATTTAAAAGGTATGCCTGTAGTTAACATACGAAGAAGACTTGTACAATCACTGGATTTACGGTCGACATAGCCGCTCAAAGATTTTCCGTTTTTCTTTTGAGAAAAACTTTCTCTAATGCTTTTAACGTTATATTTTGTCTTCACTCCTTATCTCATCTCTTCCCAACTTACTTTCCAATTATATGACACAATCCGACGTAGGTTATCTAATATCGCCTTATTCTTGGTAGATTCTCATGTAGTTACTACTTTTCAACTACGTCATTAGTTCTAAATGTTCTCGATATAAATGGGATGTGCTAATATGCATCGGAAAATATTTTCCTTTCGTTACCAAACCAGTTATGTATACATATATATATATATATATACATATATATACATATATATTCATATATATATTCAGAGAAAGTCACTCCATTAATTACTGGATTATTATTATTCTTGCGGGGTCCGAGTGAAACACTGCACTTCAGCAGCAGCACAGTTCCATTCACTCTGTTATTTGAAGTCTTTTGTAGCTAGCTGCACGGTTTCCTTTAACCTCTCATCTCATCTTCACACTATCTCCTTCAAATCACATCTTGCATGCGTGTCCAACTCTTTGTTTCCCATTCAAGTTCCACTCTAGGATGTATGATATCACCCAACGTTCTCCTCAGCGTATATCCGTTCCATTTTCGTCGGAATATTAATTGTTAATTGATTCGTTTTCAGAGTTTCTTGTTGTTAATTCATTCTGGTTATCTGGTCTTTAGTATGGAGCTACCGAGGGTGAAAATCTACAGCCTGTTGGAAGTGTATTATAACGGATTGCTTAGGTTAATCTTAGTTCTCGTTTAATGTATTTTTTTGATTGCGGTAGACTGGATAATGCGACAGACAGCCGGCAGCGAGGAAACAGGCATAAAATAGACTCGCACAAAAAACTTGGAGGATATGAACTTCGCCGATGGTATTTGTCTGATTTCCCACAAACTGAAAGATATGCAAGTGAAAAGCAACAAGTTGGCATAAGAAGCATCCAGAGAAGATGGCACTTCAGGTGAACATAGAGAAAGAGGTGATGAAGATTCCTGGCCAACAACAATAGCAGAAATAACAACAGACAACAATCAGCATAAATGGGGGAAATTTGAAAGGAGCAACCTCCTTTACCTACCTGGAAGTATCGTTTCAACTACAGGCGGAACTGACGATGATATCAAGGTGAGGATCTGGAAAGTAAGGCAAGCTTTCATTACTCTCAAGTCTGTGTGAAGGCCAACAGCGCTCAGCATGAAAAATGAGATCCTGATTTTCAATTCCAATGTGAAGTCAGTCAGTGAAGAGCACCTCAGAAGAACTACAGACCTTCATTAACAGTTGTCTTCACTCAATACTCAAGATCAGATGGCAGGCCAGAAAAGATCAGCAACAGTGAGGGATCTCTGGGAGCGAACCAACCAGGAACCGATTGTGCAACAAATAGGCAGGAAGAAATGGAGATGGGTTGGCCATACTCTGATAAAATCATCAAGTGACATCACACGCCAGGCTATCGCTTGAGTGGAACCTGAACGGGAAGCGGCGAATTGGTTGTCAGCGCGAAGGAAACTTGGAGGAGGTCATGTGAGGAGGAGATGAAAGCATGTGGGTACACTTGGACACAGGTGAAAACGTTGGCAGAGAACCGAACGCAATGGAGACGTGCGGCTGAAGCCCTATATTTCTCTAGGACTTAAAGGTAACAATGTCGTGTGGGAAGGTAGTCTTTTGGGTGGTTATTCTCAATCGCATTTGTAATAACGATCCGACAACAACAACAACCGTTCTGTAAAGTAGTAGTATTATCAGATTTCTAATAGTTTGTTCTAC